AGTGATTTGGGGCCCCTGTCGGGATGGGAGACCCAGCTTGGCGGGGGGCCCAGCGCAGCCCGGGGCAAGGCTCACCTCCTTCAGGAGCTTGGCGCATCTCCCTGCGGGACGGGGTGGCGTGAGGTGCGGCAGAACGGGCCCCTTGGACCCCCACCCACCCTCAGCGTCCCCAGCCTAGCACCCACCCAGAAGGCCTGGGGCTCACCGTGCCGGGCCACCAGGTAGAGCCCCATGTCTGCAGTCAAGTCCTGGAACCTCCGGAAGCCTGGTCCGCATTCATCCTCCAGGCTCCGAGCTGCAGGGGGCACGGGGGGCGCTGGGCTGGGCCGTCCCCAGGGGGGCAGCGGCAGGCCCAGCCCCCGACCCTGGCATGTGCTTACTGAAATACTTGAGCACATGGTAGTCCTTGCCTTGCCAGCGGAGGGACAGCCTCAAAATGGCATACTGCTCGTAGTCCGTGTCTATCACGTGGATCTCCCTGTGGCCTGGGAGCAAGAGGCCCGGGAGAGACCGCAGGCATGCCGACGGCTACCTCGCAACCTGGCAGACCTCGGAGGCGGGGTGCAGGGTCTGACTCCATCCTCTCCGCACCCAGGGCCCGGACCCTCCCATCATGCTGGGCAAGGCGTGGGGGGGACAGGTAGAACAGCCCTTGAAGGATGACCCACTTGGTGGTAAGAGAAGGGGAGCACCTGGGGCTTGAGGAGGAGTGCAGGGAACAGCATGGGGAACAGCACAGGAAAAATAGCAAGGCAAGTGTAGCTGGTATGCAGGGCCAGGGGTCTGTAACTGTAGCGACAGGACAAGGGTTCTTACCAGGAAAAACAAATGTCCCTGAAACGTCTATTTCTGAGCCCACTATTTTTTCCGTCTCACAACTTCCTGAGCTGAAAGACGGCAGGGTGCTCATCAGGAAAATACCAGCCTGCATTCTCTCTGCAGGGCACATCCCAGGCGTGTGGGGGTGGAGGGGCCCGGCGGTGTGTCTGTACCAGGGAGAGCTCGGGCCAGGGCGAGGCTGGGCGAGGTGAAGAGCGGGGGCCCCAGAGAGCCCCAAGGCTCCTTTTGTGTCTTACAGCCTAATGGGGCCTTATCAAAACACTATGCTTCTTTTCGGGAGAATTGAAGGTCTAGGTCTACATGTAACAACTCCAGGATCCTGGGGGTTCTGGTGCTGGGAATGGGGGTCAAGGTCTGGGGTTTTGGACACAGTGGGGCCGACCCTGTCCAGACCCCACAGCTGCAGCTGATGGAGCTGCCCCCGCCAGGCCCTCAGCCATACCTGCCTATTTCTACTGGAGCTCCCAGGGGCCCCAGGACCCCTCACCTGTTATACGCAACCTTCACAGTCAGCTCACGTCCACTCAAGGTCAGGAACAAGGCTTCCAGCCTCTTTGGGGTCTTCAGTGCCAGGTTTTGGCTGGAGGCCACCCCAACTTCCCGCCAGAATCCTGCGATCTGGAGAGAGAAGCCAGAGCCCTGTCCTCGGTGGCAGACCCTCCGGGGCCCCAGAGCAGGGCGCCGGTGGTCCCTGAAAGGTCAGCATGTCTTCGTGGCAAAACAGCAGTCACCATCCTTCCGAGGAGTCCCTTCAGCCCATCAGACAGCAGGGCGCCTTCCGTGGGGCCAGGACACCAGGGGCAGCAGTGGTTGGAGCCCAAGAGAGGGGAGGCAGCAGCCAGCAGCCCTTGGCACCCACGGGAGGGTACAACTTCTCTGGGAGCTGGGGTGGGGGGCTCCTGCCTTCAGAAAAGCACCTCAGCCCAGAACTTCCGTCTGAACCCAGAAACTGATCGTTTTGTGACAATGAAGTATACACGTCCCCAATGCCTGTCCTCTCTGAGCCCTTCTGAAGCGCTCCCGGCTCGGCTGCCAACACAGACCTGTGAAGAAGGAACTCGGGCAAAGCCCCCTGCGAGCTCCCCGCACTGGGAAAGCGTCCTCTGGTCGCCACACAGTGCGGCCCCGTGAGACCTGGTACAGCGGGGCCGCTCCCAGGCACCTGGCCTATTCCCACCGGAGCTCCCAGGGGACGGACCCCACCGATCCAGGAGCAGGAAGGTCCACGCTGAGCCCCGGGTGGACCAGCCGGCTGCCCACGGAGAAGCTCAGGGAGGGCTCTGGCCCTGTCGGTCCCGGGTGTTTGCTCACACCCCCTCTCAAGGACAGGAGTGACCAGCCAGGCTAGGCTCAGACCCTCAGCCACCTGCTCTGTCCGGGCTGACCTGGGGAGGGGTGGTCCTGGGGCCCCGATGAGGCTGCTCTGGCGTCGGCTGGGGGGCAGGGGGGCTGGACACTCAGGCCCCTCCCTGCCCCGACCTCCCCACGTAAGACAGAAAGGCCACCTTCTGCAAGTCCAGGTCCTGGGAGGCTGTGTGCACCTGCACCATGACAACGCCCAGGACGACAGTGAGGAGCCCAGGCTCCATCGCGGCTCGAGGTGCCTCTGCTCCCCGGAACCTGGGTTTTTAGCGGGGGAACATTGCGCAAGAGCCTGAGACGGTCATCAGCACAGGTGGCCAAGACCCCTCCGGGAAGTGGCCCCGGGGACACCCACAGCCACCGGGGTGGGGTCAGCCCACGCGAATGCCAGCTTCCTGGCCTGGGATGAATGTGGGCATGGCAGGGGGGCCGCCTGAGAAGGGGGGACGAGGCCCCCACCATGGGACAGCTGGGACCACAGCTCCAACCCCGTAGGGGCCGACAGACGGGTGCCGTGCCCAGACCCACGGGCTCGGAGCACCTTCCTCACCTGGCATGTGGCGGCTTTCAAGCTCTTTCTGATCAGCCTTGGGGCAAGAGAGGCTCCGAGGGCCTGGTACGGCTCACTGAGCTGAGGGGGGAAGTGAAGGAGGGGTCTTGTCTCCCTGCGGAGGTCCCCGTGGGGAGGGGAAGCTTGGGAGCAGCATGGGAGAGGCACAGAGGTCCTTGGGGGGCGGAGGTGGACGGCCACGTCTCAGGGATCCTGGCACACACTGGGGAGCCGCCTTCCTGGGGCCCGCGTCCTCGTCCACCCTGACAGGACACAGCCCCATCCCCAGGCCAGGCCCTGTGCCTGTCCTCGCCTGGATCAGTCAGGTCCACACACAGCTGGGCACGACCCACCGCCCAGAAGGCTGGCCTGAGAGCGGCCCCGTCGTGCTGGCCCCCGACCCGAGGAGCAGAACCAGGACATGAGCCAGGGCAGTGGGAGGCCAGAGCCCGCTCTTCCCCAGCTGGGCGCCCCCCAATAGTATCGCTGGGTCCCCCCACCAACAGTACGGCCGGCCCCCCACCACCACCACCAACAGTACGGCCGCCCCACCCCCCAATCTACTGGGCCCCCCTCAACAGTAGATTTGTTGTAGATAGATTAATCTGTCCCAGATTAAGAACCTGGCAAGAGGTTTTGTCCCAGATTAAGAGCCTGGCAAGAGGAGCCCACCTCAGGGACAGGGGCCCTGGCCCAACCAGCTGTGTGGCTCAGGGCAAGCTGTGTGCCTTGGTTTCCCAGCTGTAATGGCCACAAAGCAGGGGGACGGGTGCCACGTGGCCAGGAGGGGTCCTAGGGTGCCCAGAGCAACTCCTGCCAAGACCAGCATCCGTGGTTCTAGACCAGTAAGAGGCAAGCTTCCCAGCTTCGGGGCCAGAAAAGTACACCCTGGAAGGGCTCTAGGCTTGGTCCGGTACAGGACAGCTCCCACCCCACAGGGAGACAGGCCGCCTCGGACCCTGGATGCTGCACTGTCCTTCCACCAAGGCTGTCAGCTTAGGGTCTGCCAGGTGTGGGAACTTCCAGGCAGGACAGGGAAGCCCAGAGCTGGCCAGCCCGCTGGAGACCGAGGGACACACCACACCACAGGACCAGCAGGGGCCTCCCAAGGAGGCTGATCCGGGACTAGCTAATCCGAGCTCCAAGCTGGCCCAGCCCGGGCTGATGAGAAAGGGGCCCCCCGCCCCCAGTGCTTGGCCAGGCAACAGAGGGAGGACAGGAAGCGTGGGGGATGCTGTCTCTGGGTGACCAGGAGCAGGATGAGGACAGATGCCCTTCATCTGATCCAGCCGACTGCCTCCGGCTCCAGACCTGGGAAGGCTGCAGGGCGCCTGTGAGCAATGAGGCAGGACCCTCACTACCTTCCTGTCACCTCACCTGGCCCTTTAAAGTGTGTGCACTGGACGGAACCTGGACGTGCTGAGCTCCTTTCAGGAGAACAGCGGTGGCCAGGGGCCCCTAGGGAGGGCTCTCTCCCCCAACATCTCACGGAGTGTCCGCATGCAGCCCAGGCCCTGGAGCCTGACCACTGGGCCTCAGCCTCAGCCTGGCCCCTCGCTGGGCAAGTCACCAACTTCTCTATGCCTCAGTTTCCTGAGTAAGGAATGCAGCGAGCTCACTGTGTGTGTCCAGGGGTCCACTGTGGAGCATATGACATAGCCAAGGTCAAGGTCAGCCCAGCAGCAGGAGGGAACACCCCTGGTGAGCCCTGCTTCGAGGCCCCCATGCTGCTGTGCCCCCAGCTCCTGCAGCCAGGGGGCTGCATGTGCCCAGTGGAGCCCCCACGGCGAGGCGGTCTTCATGGGCACCCTGGCTCCCTGAAGGTGCCGTGAGCCCATGAGGACAGGACAGTGGCGTCAGACACCGCCTACGGGGACAGCCCCTCGTGGGTTCCAGGCTGGGCTGGAGTTCCTGTCCCCTCGAGCCAGGAGGTGCCCAGTGGTCAGTGTCTGCCGCATGCCCACTTCCCTGCCTCAGTTTCCCTAGGAGTCCTGGATCAAGACAGGGCTCACCGTGCCCTCCCCAAGGGCCCCTGCAAAGAGGAGAGGAGCCTCTAGACTGCAGAATATGTTTATTGAGGGGAAGAGGGAGGCCCAGGGTAGGGGAGGAGGGGGTGACCCAGGAGGACGGTGGGTCCGGACAACTCAGGACGACAAGGTCTGCTGCTCCAGCTCGCCCTGCACAGACAGGAAAGGCACGGTCACTCCAGGCCCCCATTCAACAAACACTCCTCGGAGCCTCTCGCTGCCCCCATCCACGGCACACGTCGCCTGCAAGGCCAGAGCTAATTCTACCATTGAAACTTCCACAACTGTGGAAGCCCACCACAGTGGCCCCAGAGGCCAGCAGCACACCGTGGCTTCCCGCAGTCCCGGGGACCCCAACACACTTTCCAGCACCTTGCTTGCTCGCTGGCCGGCATGGCAAGAAAGCCCCACAAGGGCCACTGAACCAAAACAAAACCCCCAGATTCAGCCCCTGAGAGGGGGGTCCACATGGGATGCTTTACCCTGGATGTTGGGCGAGGCCCACAGCAGGATGCTGGGGCTCCTACTCTCCGAAGGTAGCACCTCCCAGAGGCTGATCTGGCATATCCCTCCCTCTCTCCTCCCACCGAAGACAAGCACCTGTGGGGTGCGGCGGGACCAGGGGTCGGCAGCATCTTCTAGACACACGAGAAGTTAAAACAGCCCAACGCCCCCTGGTGAATAGCCAGCCGGGCCCTGGAGAGCAGGTGCAGGGTCGATGGCGGGGTGATGCCAGGAGTGGGGTGCTGAGGGAGATGCAGGCGGAGATGCCGAGGGAGATGTTGGGGGATGGCAGGGGGATGCAGGGGGAGAAGATGGGGGGATGCCGGGAGGGATGGTGGGGGGTATCCCGGGAGGGATGGTGGGACGCTCCCTTCAGAATGAGGAAGGAGTCCCACCACACAAACACAGGCCTGCCAGGAAGGACCACAGGGCTGCCTCTGACACTTCTGTTATTTATTGTCTTATGTGGGTTCCCAAACTATTCATTGTGAAGTTGGTAAGGGGCTGGACAGTTTCTTAGCATCTACTTGGGGGGAGGGTGTCCCCAAAAGTCCACCTACTTCCATGTCCCAATAACCCTATAACGGCAGTGCTATGCAAGGTGGAGGTTCCCGTCTCATGGGGCCCTCCGGGGGAGACCAGGTTCCTAGACAATTCCAAGGCCTAGTACCCCAGGAAGGTAGCCAGAGGCTGCGGGACACACAGCACACTGGATTGACAGCATCTCCCGGACTCATGTCCAGCTGGGGCCTCAGAGCAGGACCTTCCCTGGAGACAGGGTCTTTGCAGACGTGATCAGTTAAGGACGGAGACGAGGCTGTCGTGGACTTAGGGCGGGCCCAGCCCCCGTGACCGGTGTCCTCGTCAGAAGAGGGACATTTGAACACAGACACACAGAGGGAGGACAGCCGTGTGACCGTCGAGGCAGAGACAGCAGGGATGGGGCTACAAGCCAAGGGAGGCCGAGGCCCGCCAGCACCAGCAGGAGCTGGGAGAGGCCAAGATTCGGCCCTGAGCCTCCAGAAGGAACCAGCCAGGACCACTCCTTGACTTTGGGCTCTGGCCTCCAGAACGGTGGCGAGAACAAACTCGTGTCATATGTGGTAATTTGTTAAGGCAGCCCTAGGAAATCGGAGGCGGCTTCCTGGAAGAGGTAGCATTTAAGCTGAGGCCTGAATCGTGGAAGCGGCCGGCGGGCAGCTGGGTGGGGCTGGGGGAGTGGGATCCACATGTGCAGAGCAGCAGACAGAGCGGCGGCCCAGGGCTGCCCATGCAGGCCCTGGAGAACAGGACGGAGAGGCCATCCTGCCTCTATCCTACCTGCGAAGGGCCGAGGTGGGTCTCCACAGGTGTCAGGGAGCTTCCTTGTCCCCAGAGGAGCACGCGTCTGCGGGAAGGAAGACAAAGAGGCTGAGCCGGCTGGACTGCCCACAGCTTCCTGCAGCCCCACCCCCTGGGCCCCCAAACAGCCCCAGCCCCTGAAAGCCTCTCCCTCCCGGCTGCCCATAACCTCCTCCTCAGTGTGTGCGGGCGGAAGGAGGGGGCCGCAGGCCCACCTTACGAGAGACACCACCTGGTCTGGCTCACTCCCAGGGGTTGGCAAGGGGCCTGCGCACCTGACTTGGGCACCATGACCATCATGTCATCCTCGAGCCCCACCGTGGGGTAGAAGTCCCGGAAGGTCTTCACAGCTTGGGGACTTGCTTCCTGGGTCCGGCCTGAGGCAGAGCAGGGCCCCAGTGAGCTCTGTGTCCCACAGAGGTTGGGGGTTGGGTGGAGGTCTCCTGGGGCTCACAGAGGGGAGGGGAGAGGAGGGGGTGGAGGTCTCTGGGGCTCACAGAGGGGAGGGGAGGGGAGCGGGTGGAGGTCTCGGGCTCACAGAGGGGAGGGGAGGGGAGCGGGTGGAGGTCTCCCGGCCTCCGCGCTCTTCCTTGAGAGTTGACAGCAGGTGCATCAGGCACTGCTCAAAAGTGCCTGCCTGGCTGGGGAATCAGGGGACTGAAGCCGCCCAGAGGGGTGTCCTTTCCTAATCCACACAGGGTGCCTGGGAGACTGGCAGGGCCTGGGTCTTCCCCAGGGCCATGTCCCCCTGGGCCCCACACCCCTCAGGCCCCCAAAACCAGTCTCTAGCCCTAACCCCAACCTC